TACTTGACTACGGGGGTTATTGTCTTGGGGACATGAAGCAAACCAAAGCCGCACGTCGATGCGCCAGAGTAATCATAGACAAAAAATGAGACATCCCCTCGGGGCCTTTATTTAGAGACCTTAACGTCGTGCCATGATTTGATAAGAAACAAGAACGCGGTTATAGCATCATTCAGTCTCGCTTGCTTGGAGATTAGATCGAGAAAGCTTAGGATAACTGTACAGGAATATTTTTATTCATAAAAGTGGTCCTGTCTATTTGGCCGGTATTACCGGAGAAAATGGTACCGTCCAGCGGGACATCCTGAGTTTTACCAACTTTTGTTAGGAGGTACATATCATATCTGGGTTTTTTATTGCTAAACGGTCATTCTTTAGGTTTCCAAAAGGCCAGGGTAACTAAACAGGAATGCTTTTTTTATCGTAAAAAATGCCTTGTCCTTTTGGCTTGTATTATTTAAGGAAATACTGCCGCGTAGCAGGACATCCTAAACTATATCAGCAGTTGCTTGCATGTAATATTACATGTACATGACATGCATCTTGTTATTGTTACATTGTATACATACCTTGCCCTCTGAAGGCTTTTTCCCACCAGCCGGGGACAGCGGAACAAAGATAGTTTTATTCATTCCTTGTTGTTGTTATCACCTAAGAATGTCCACCCAGGGGGACAATCTATAGGGAGTACTCTCTGAATAACTCAGCGATTTTCTTTAGCCCGTGAATGTAATGTTTTTCTGCAATGCTGTATCACTCTGGGCCCAGCTCGTTAGTTTTGTTTGGAGAATGTTAAATTATTATGCATCAGTCAATTCCACCTGCGCCCAGCCCCCCCCCCCCCCCGGGCAACTGCGGGGCATTTGCCCCCCTTTTCAGTCCCGGGGGGGGGGCATTTGCAAATTTTGCACTGCCCAGGGGCCGGGCATTTGCCAACCCCCGGGCCATTCCCGAGCTTTTGACACGCACGCGGCTTCCCATCAGAATATAACTACAAAGAAGGTTTTACTGGAAAAAAAGCAGATTGACTCGTCTGTAAAGTACAGGAATATATTGTAGAGGGTTGTAAAGACATGTTCTCGATTTTACATGTATGTTGCATTTCTTTATTGCTTATAAAGCCAGAATTACGTAGCGAAATTGGAGCTGTCAATGTGAATCAAATTTCTGTTGATATTATTTGAAGAACATCCTTTCATATTTATAAAACTATTCATAACATATAACATTACATCGCTCTATTAATTTTAATGTCAATAATTTTATATCAATACTAAAATTATAAACTGGTGCGTGTCGTCGTGGCGTGAAGTCTTAGTGAGAATCCTAGCGCTATTACAAAGGAAGACGTTAATTGAAACAATAAAATCGCACATTAAAATGCTTAAAATGGCACTATTTGACTGTGCGATCAATGAAAAATGTTGCAGTGTTGACGGAGGACGGGCCATTTGCCCTCTTTTTTCGTCCTCACCCCTGGGGATTTGACAGCTCAAGAGTCCCCACCCCCGGGAATTTGCCATCCAAGGCAAAAAAAAATGCTAATGCCCGAGGGTCAGCCCGGGAAGGTGGGGGGGGGGGGCTGGGCTCAGGGGGAATTGACTGATGCCAAGATAGGATAAAGGGGACAGAGAAGGCATCCCCCATACACACCCTATTCCGTAGGTAATTCGTCTCGAGTTATTTTTAGAATCGGGATAAAGTTACCTCGCACGCTGCGTGGATGTTTCGTGGAGGTTTCGCATGACTAAACGCCGTGCAAAGCAGTCGGGCGAAAGGCAATGAAAGCGTAAAGAGATCGAGAGCATTCTTGAATATTGACGCGAAATGAGTCGGCGCTAACCTGGGAAAAGGGAATCGCTAGAATCTTTGACAACCCGTGAAATCAATTCAACTCGAAGTTGTCGTAACCTCAGTGCTTTAATAAAATGAGAAATTTCGCCGGTCTCTTGAAACCGTTCGTTTGTACGATAAAGCAAGTAGGACGCCAAGTGTTATTTTTGTTGAATAATAAAAGACTAACAAAAGAATATATATGAAACCAGCAATTGCTCTCTTCAAACTGTAAATTATAAATGATCCTGAAATAATATTCAGTGTGTTAAGGATTTCCCTGTTGTACTGTTAGCTCTATACAAGAGAGGAAGGGCGATTCTTTTTTAATTTCCGTTTCGCCGACACAGCTTTAGCAGAAATCTCTCTGTAGTCGTTTTCCTTGACAGACGAATAGCCGTCTTCCGCCATTTTGTTCTGCGTCAATTCGTGAAGGACGCGTGGCTCTGAGCGTGGGTCATCCACGCGGAACACATTCGCGCTATGTGATTGGCTGTTGTCTAATCCCCCTTGGGATCTGTGGTCTTAAAAATAACTCCAGACGAATTACCTATGGAATAGGGTGTGTATGGGGGATGCCTTCTCTGTCCCCTTTATCCTCTCCTGCTGATGCATTACGGATAGTGATTTACAGGTCGTCTGTACTCTTGCAATAAAACGTGACACTGAGTAGAGCGGACGTACAAGGCAATAATCAATTTTCTCCTGCTACTTTTTATAAAAATGAAAACCCCGATAACAATGATAATTATTATTATTTATACTTAGGTGAACGAGTGCCGAGTAGACGTTAATTAGTTGTAAAAACATTCACCTGAAACGAAATTTAATGCCCTCAGCTTTTAGTCAACCAATTTATCCTAATCTCCCCTCAAACGTCACTGATATTTTTTCCACAGGTGGAAACAAGGGTTTTTACTTCAGCTTTTGTGAAGGCAATTTGAAAAACTGTAAGTTAATAAAGGTGAGCTTCCTAATTCGTCGAATTATTCATGTATCTTCATTACTGATCTTTGAAAAACAGACGTCAACCTTGTTTGTTCACCTCCTACTTTTCTTTTCTAAGTAATCAAACTTTATTCAATTCAAATTCTTTCTAAAGGTAGACGAACAACAGAAGAGAACGGGCAAAAGTGTGAAGCGAAAAGAAGTAAAAGAAAACAAGTCAATCATGCAATTATCTTCATCCGAGTGCATCACCTGGTTTGCTGTAACCCTTACCGTGTGTGCTGCTATAGTAACAGTGAACCTTCTATCAATCATTCTTTTTATAAAAAACCGCAGTCTTCGCACTCGTGCCATGTACCTAGTTATAAATCTGACCATAGCTGATATGTTTGTCGGAGGATTTTCTCACTTTCATCCATTTCGACTCCTCTCAGTTGTCTCATGCGACATTGTGAAAATGAACTTAAGCCTGGAACTGAATGTGATAATTAACTTTCTCTTCTCCTGGTTTCCTCTGACCTCTCTAACAAACATTGCAGTCATTTCATTAGATCGCATGCATGCAACAATTCGTCCCTTCAGGCATCGCCACACCAAAAAGTGGGTCTACGGGGTAACAATTGCTGGTGTCTGGGCTTTAGCTGCAATGGTATCAACCGCCTCTTTAATACTTCGGAAATATGGGAAGGAATGGTCGTATCATCATTACTTATGGCATTCATACTGTTGTTTGTGTCTTTTAGTTATCTGTGTTTCTTACTCTTTCATTGTTGTTAAATTTTTGTGTGGAGCGCATCCCCAGCACCATGGTGCAGCCAACAAACAAAGGAAACTGACCGTAACATTATTTTTAATGACTATCGTATCCTTATTGATGTGGCTACCTCATGCGGTTTATATTTTTCTTCTATTTCAATCTTTGACTAGTATCATGGAATTCCTTTCTTCCGAGAAATTAGTACGTTTCGAGCTTTCTTTATTCGTTCTATCTTTGATGAACTCGCTTGTTAATCCCATCGTTTACACAATCAGAATGCCAGAGTTTAGGAAAGCTCTCCTACTGTTATTTAAACGTCAACGAAGACAAAATGCCCGAGATATTCCTGTTCATGCGCCTTAATGTACTCTGTTTAACACTTGGAAGCCAACTAATGATTTCGTCATCTTCATTAAAAAAAAAACAGTAGTTGATTGGATACTATTATTGCGGCATTTAAAGTTCGATAAAAAGGCCGTAAATAAATGTTGTGGTGCAATTTTTTCATTGTTTCAAATACTTTTTTCCTTTGTTTTAAACTCTGATTCTCAATCGTACATAACCATACCGCAACACAAAGGAAAACAAAATCTAAACCATTGATGAGTTGAACCACAGTATTTCGTCAAATACTACAACTAAATATAGAGCCGGTTAGTAGTCTCGTTTATCTTTTCGTTACGTTTAGTATGCTTCCAAAAATATGAAAAGATATCCTTTACATTTCTTTGTTTAAAGTTAGTCATTATGATTCTGGTCGCAGAACATGAAATATATCCATTATGTACATTAAGCGCAGAAGTTGTTTATAGTTCTTAATTTGTTATTTCACAACGCGATATCTACTTTAATAATGCGACTTGTTTTGATTGTAAAATACCGCTGTTATATCAGCATTTTAAAGAGACTTCAATAAAGTTGCTATTTATATAAACAGGATTTCTTTACGTTCTTATCTGTGTCTGGAATATCACAAGGAATGGGCCGGAAAAACGCTGAAATGGGAAAAGCACACTTCAGTCTAAAGATGGGAAAAGTCAGAAGATTGTTAAAAGTGTCTTTTTTTTTCACGCCAATTTTAGGAGAGGATTATAAGAATGTTGTTTTTCCTCGTTGTGTGATTAAGGACATTGTATACAGCTTGCCAGATACATTCAAGACTCTTTCTGCCACTATTGTTGAACATTTCCGAGTCTTTTTTTGAGAGATAATATATAGCCAAATCTGGGAAGGGAATTAAGTCAATTGAAAAACTTTGAAAATCATAGATGAATGAAGAGTCATCAAAACTATTTAGCCTTTCTCGAGAAATAGAACTTTGTAAGCAAGTTAGAGTTTTGCTTCTTCAAACATATATTTTACATCAGAAAACTTTCCCCTGATAAATGAGGATGGGGACATATCAAATAGTCTGGATTGAATATTGTCATCACTGGAAACTAAATCCAGTAAATCCATCTTGTCAGTTCGTGTCCTTAAACTGCGCCATGAATTCTTGGTGAAAGGTTCTTAGTCGCTCAAACATTGGAGCAAACGTCTCTTCAGAAGGAAGAATAGTGATCCTACCAAGAAAAATTAAAACATGAAACCGTTTAAAGTTATTTCCTTCGTATTGATAGTGGTCTGAAAAATCAAAACGTTTTAGATTATTTTAACCCATAAATTGGAGATAAAACTTGGTCCAATTTCATCAGACTTTCACACGCTGACACAACGTCGCTTTTACAGACGAGTCGCTTTTAGGACGCCTTTTCCTACGTAAGTTTAAGCGCTGGTCCATACCGTATAATCCCGGTTGTAAGCCCTTCTATTTGTAAACACCAACTTTATCTCAGTTGCAGGCCCTCCACTAAGCCCCCATCACTCCGGCTATGGGCCGATCTGTGTATACCCTCATTGCGTTCGTCAGAACGCATCCTAATTTGGTGTTCCTGTGGTACAAAGGTAGAATTTTGGGGGGTTGGGTGGAAAGAGGGGTCCTTTCAAATTTAAAGGTGCAGTCAATCTAATCGATCTAAATATATTAGACAAGCCTGTGAAAATCTTGTGACACAAATGATATCACAGAGAGGTTTTTAAAATCATCAAAATTTCGACCTGAAGTTGATGGCCCTTGTTAATTCAAATCTTACCTGTAGTAAAAGTTGTTACCGCTACCTTTCATATAAAAAAAGTGGCCAGGAATCATGTAAATTCCAGTTTTCCCCAGCGCCTGCCAACAGTAAAACTCGTCTGGTGGCATTTCCTTGGCCTAAATAACAATGGCAATACAAAAAACTCAGTAAACTCAAAAAATATCTACACATTACTTTTGTCCACCCAAAATCCTTTCACTTCGCTCACCAAACAGACCACATACATACTTTCCTTGTGAGGGGAATATCTGTATTTCAAAGAATCCCTCGATGAAGCCTTGACTGGGAGCTGGTACTAGATCAATACGACATATGGAATTTAGTAATGCAATATGGAAAGTTGAGAAAGTGAAATTTTAAGTTTCGCGGGACATTATCAGCAGCCTGAATAAGAAGGGATCATATAGCGTCCTTTTCACTTTTTCTAACCGAAGAACGCCTTTTATGAAAACTGACACGACGAGAAACGGGTTGGCATTCTTCTAATATAAGGTCCATCCACGAAAACGTTGGCTTCTGGATCGGACGTTGTGGATTGCGGATTTTATGCTGTAGATCCGGATGGCGGGTACTGGATTCAGTATTCCTTGTCCATGAAACGTGGATTCCAGATTCCAATCGTTAGCGAGATTCCGGGCTTCATATATAGAGCAGGCCCCAGCTGTTAAAAAGGTGGATAACGCCATCCACCGGATAAATCTCTATCCAGTGGATAGTGCAATTGGTTTCGCTCATACCTATCCACTGGATAGTGATTTATCCGGTGGATAGAGCTATGCATCTTATGAACAACCGGGTCTGAATTCCGAATTTCAAACCCCTGAACTGATTCCGGATCAGTCTACAAGAAAAAAATTCCTGGGTTCCGGAATCCGGATTACCGTACACCTAGGATATCCATTACTGACAGTATTCTGCAGTGTGGCACTAGAAATCAGGGCCGGAAACAAGACATGATACCTTGGCTGCCTCGATAGCTTTCTTTGGAAGTGTTATCCTTGGAAACGCATACATTGCACCTGCCACCTCGTTACACTTAACATTTTCCATTGAGTTAAAAAGTTCCGATGTCATCTTTGCTTTCCTCCTGTGAGAATCCTTGATGGATGTTACTTCCTGTAAAACAGATAAAACACAAAATAATACTTAGGCAAGTTATGGGAATACTGGAGGTAATCACTTCTATATATTTCCACAGCGAGTCGTAATTAAAGATCATTTTCTATACATTTATAAGAAGATTGCCAAACGTTCCGGGAGAAAATAGAAATTTTTGCTTACTCGACCTAGTCCCTCAGCGACTCAAGCATTTGGCAAACTTTACTTGCGTAGACTCGAATCTCACGTTTTGTTTGGGCAAAAGAGTCAATGGAAACCTATCCTAAGTGCCAGAGATTTTATCGCCACTCGTGGCTTCGGCCCGCGGGCCGAAGGATCCCGCCACCTGCGAGAATACCTCTGGTACCAAGGGTAAGAGAAAGAAGCTTTATTTGTTAAATCGGCTATCCCATGGCAGGCATCAGAGGTCACTGCTTTTATCTGTATCATGGAAAACTACATTTCAACTTATTACATTTTAGTTAAAACCTGGAACGCGTTACAGCCTGAGCACTAGAGACAAGCTGAAAAAAAGAATAATACAGCGCTATTAATTTTGTCATTCACAACTAAGTACTAAGTTCCCAAGTTCCACAGCGAATAATGACTCGTTATTGCTATTATCAACCATATAAACTAGTCAGCCGTGACAGAGCCCCTTTAACAAATTACAGGAGCGATAAAGTAGCGCTGCTTATGATCACGCGAGGCGCGTGAGTTTCTCTGGGTTAAGTTACAGTTAGGGAGCTTACCTTTGAAATCTTTTCATATGATTCACCGTCAGGCTTGGGAGGATTGCAAGTGAGTCCCATGACTACCTTGGGTTAGAAACCAAGCGTAATAAATACAGACTGAGTACCTTACAATGAAGGACAAAAAGCTTCCTCTGCAGGCGCTTCGAGACTCGGGCGACACAAGGCAAAAGACTGGAAGTAAGAGAAGCGCGAAGCCTTATGGGAGGAATAAGAAAGGAGAGCAAAGCCATCTTTCACCATCCCGCCGTTCTTTGCGCGTACTGTGAGAGACGCCTAAGTACGATGAAGTTACATCTGAAATATTGCGATTTTTTTGCTTAACTGCCTAATACCCTGATTACCATAGAACAAAACAAAACAACAACAGGAACAAACAACACAAAAGAGAAACACAAGCAGCCAGGCTTGTCTAGGACTTGGAAGATGTTAATAAATCATCGTAGAAGCACAAAGATACTTTCGCTCTCACGAAAGGTATTTACTGAGGTCTTTCCAGGAATTCAAATTGGAAATTGCGGACTAGGGTTTGAGGCAGCCTTTTCATTAGGGACCTCTGTCCCATTTGACTACATGACATACATTATTCGTACCTGTCCTATTGTGGAAGGGCAACTTCTTGCACTCAGGTAAGTTTTAACTCGAGGCCTGAGTTGATCATTGAATCCTACGAGCTCTATATATCCACCTCTGAACCCACATCTGCAAGGAACAGCAATGAAGAAAGTCCAGTATTTGACTACCCTGCGAGCAGAGGCTACATTTTCGCGGTATGAGCTGGCGTTCGAAAAGTAGCTGTAGTATTTGACCCATTGCAGCTTGTCATTGGCATGGTACGAAAACACCATGATGGAGAGCAAGGTTACGTTGGTTACCTTTTACAAAAATACAGTTGGAAAGAACCGGTAAATGGAACACCTGACGACTGTTCAAAAAATTTCAGTGGAAACATTTCCAGGAGCAATGGAATGTCTGAAAAGGATTTTCTGTTTTTCCGGTCGTGTTTCTTTTCTTCAAATCAACCCTTGATACCATTTTAAGGTTCTCGCGGCCGTTTTTCGGTAAATGAAACTGATTTGTACGAATGGTAAACGCGATTCCGGGACGACATCTACTAGCACTGAATTTCGCTTACCACTTGTCCAAACCGTGATCCGAATGGTATGTCCGTGTAAACGGTAAACAACCCGAGACACGCATTGGGAGAAGACCAACCAGAGATGTTACTAAGATTTCAAGTTGCTGGGTAAATGCGACAAGTAGGCAGGGAATATAACAGTTAGGCATTTCTTTTCGTCCTATTTTTCTTCTATTTTCCTATGAAAGTAGCCGGGGGCCACGTTCATAGCAACCGGGGAAAATCCCACCCCCCCTCCTCTTAATGACAGCCCTGCAAACATAGGAAATTACAACTTTAAATGAAGTGAGCTCTTTGTGTCTTGTCCCAGAGCGCCCCTCCCTAACTCCCCAGCATGGTGGTTTTGTACCACGTGATCATGACTAGCTCAGAGGCCCTATTGTGAGAAAAATTAATAGAAAAAGTTTGTTTTGGAACTCATGATCGGTTGGCCATTTACTGGTGAGGCCGAGTACTTGATTTTCAGATTTCCGTGGGAAAGGAATTGTAAAGTGGTAAAGTTTGCATCAATTTTCTCCCAAGTCAGTACAGTCAAATAGAAAAACCACGCGCAAAGAGTGCAAATGTGAAGAATTTTTCTTACAAACGAGGCTTGGGGGTGAAATCAGCTCATTTAACCCGTAATCTCGCATAAGGGCCATTTCGCGGGATAAGCAAGTCCAGCAAGCTGCACAAGAGGTCACAATTTTTTATCCATGATTACAACCAAACTTGTGTCCGACAGTCACCTTTGGCAATAGCCAACTGACTAGTCTCGTAACCAGACCTCTTGTTGATCTCTTCGACTTCGTCTACAAGAGATCTGGGTTGGAGATTACCGACCGTTAACCGTTAAGTACAGATGAAGAATCCACCTCAAGACGATAATATCCACAACGTTTTTCCTGCCTTTTCTTTTGCCAAAAAATGTCAAGCCAAAGACAAAATAATGTTTTTAATGAACTTGCAAAATACCTCGTAGCAAAGTGAAAATTTAATAGCGATGAAGGAAATACAAAAAACTTGATAAGGACTGCTGGGGAAAGGAGAGCTGCGACTCTCATCAGTAATTCAGAGAAAAGTATTTCCGCGACTTTGACAAGTGACCCCTTAACCCTTTAACTTTCCGCAGAATGAATGGTGGAGTCGAATGAGTAATTCAAGTTTTAATAACTTCAGAGTCTGTGGACGAAATCCTTTGGCCTTTAGTGTCAGTGACAATTCAAATGAAACCTCGTTGTTTATACTTTCATGTGGTTTTACTTGTTTCTAAGCATTTTAAAAAATGAAATTTATAATTTGTAATTGGGAGAGCAAGGGTTAATAATGGTTTGTCTGTGGTTATGTATGTACAATCAAATAAGCCCGGCAAACAGAGCCCAAGGGTACAAAATTGGCACTAAATCATTTTTGTCTACTACCCGAAGGTGGCCGCAAAAACAAACAAACAAGAGGAAAAACACACACGCACAACTTACTCGCCTGTGTACCCTTTGGCACTGGAATGAAGAGAGATCAATTGAAATCCGCTATACTCGTCTCCCAGGTCCCTGAGGACTTTTTTGCACGAGTGAAACTGGGCTCCCTCCGCGTACACGTTGTCTTGGTAAACTTCATCGGCGAATAAAACTAACTTCTCACTAGCACAAAACTTGATTACTTCTTGAATGACTTCATACGTCAACACCTGACCTATATATAAATAAGAAACAAACGTGACTAAAGTTAATGGATAAACGAAGGACAGAACAAGTTTACATTTTATAGTTAAACTTTGATATAACGAACACCTCGGTTTAACGTAGAATCTCCATAGAACGAACACCCTAGTTTAACAACTGCCTAGATAATGAACATCCCAGTATAAGGAGGAATTCATCAAAAAAAGGAGAAAAAACAACACCCTGGTATAACGAACACCCCTTGATAAGGGTCACCCCGTGAAAAGAAAGCTCGAACGCAATAATCTGTGTGCTAAAAGAATGTTGAGAGTAAATAGAGAAATTTTATTATCATTGCTATCATCATCATCATCATCACCTGCATTAATATTACTGCACGTAATTACAAATTGATAAACATCCAATGTACCTGCTGGATTGCCTGGATTTATCAGCACGAGAGCTCTTGGTAAACAGTGCGGCCTTGCCCCATCCAGCTTTTTCTTTGGTTCAGACATATTCAAACCCCAGTTCTTGTCTTCGTCCAGAAGGTAAAATATCTTCAGGATAAAAAATAAATAAAAAATTGAGTAGAACGTAATTTTCTCATGAGGTCTCTGAGGAAAAATGCCGATGTTTGAAGTAATAAATTCTTGCTGAAACAAAACTGGAACAAAGTTCTTAGATTTACTCCGATTAACGGATAGTTTCGGGAACTCTTAAGGCTGGTCCAGTTTTCACTAGTCGTAATTAGAAGTGCAAAGCGTTATGATCAAGTGAAAAAGAAGTCAGATTCCGCATACGACTCTGTCGCTTACAACGTCAGTAGTGACAACTACAAGGTTTTCACACTTGTACTAAGGAGAAGCGACAGATCAATCTTTCACAACATGAAGCAGTGTTTGGGACCGAGTACCGTGATTGGTTTATTCCTTTTGTTTTCACTACACTGTAAGCGGCGGAGTCGTAAGCGGAGTCGGAAGATAAAAACGTTCCGATTCTTGTTTTGGTACTCCGATTCCTCCCTTTAAGCCTATGAACCCGTTTACGACTCCGAGTACGACCGGCCCGTCACAGTGGTTTAAGTGAAAATCAGCCAAACTTGGACGAATTTTGCACAGGCAGGGAAGAAGCTCACTTGCTCAAACATCACAAAGCGTTTTTTTTTTGTAATATTTTGTTTTTCTAGTAGTGATTCGCACGCGCCAACGGCTCTTAAAGATGGAAAATCTGCTTGGAAAATACAGTAGTAGACTTTCGCGATGCGAACATTTAATTCAAATTTACAACCATCTTAGCTTCTAGAGTCTTAAGTCTCTTTCTTCTTAACAGTTACTGATACATGCCTAGCTAGACTGGTCAGCAAGCGTGAAAAGCGAAGTAAAGCCGTGATAGCACGAGCGAAGCGTGTGCAAGCACTCTACTCTCCTCGCACTCCTTTCCGCTGCCCCTCCCAGACAAACCCGCCAGCAACGTAGGTTAGGTAGAGGAAAATGCGTGAACGATAGTGAAAACAACTCCTAAAAATGTGACGCAACACAAGTGTCACTTCTCGAGAGAAGTAGCCAGCTGTTCCAGGCGTTCAGATAATAGAGCGAGGTCAAAAAACTGACGAGGAAAAAAAAATGGGAGAGACTAGAGAGGGAGAGTTCCCTCGCTCTCGCCCCACTCTCCCCTCGTTTCCTCCGCGTACGATTTAACTCAATCACTGTGTTTTACTATTTGAACGCCTGGAACAGACTACGCGGGAAGCGACGCCAACTGACACGAATAGGTATTAACTGGTGTGTGTTGTGTTGCAGTAGCCTCGCCTGATACATGCTATATCCAGGGATAGGAATCATTACCCCAGGGGGTCCCCAGCTCGACCCTTTCCTTCCGTGATTCCTGTTGAAATAATTCCCATCATGACCTGTGCGGCCAAACAAACCATTATCTTTTTCAGTTACCACTAGGTAAAGCTGTGCAGCAGTCACAGGGTACCCACTTGGAAGCTGTTTTAATCTGCAGAATGAATTTTAAGAAAAGGAGAACTGACAAACAGGGTTGGTTAACTAAACCAACAACATTGAAACAACTCAATAATAGTTTCAGTTTATACAGCCTGAGAAAACAGTCATAACATTTCGTGATGCCACCACTGGTTTCCCTGCGAAATGACGCCAGTGAGGAACAAACGCGGCAGAAATTTCATACTGTCAGTTGTGTCACTGCCCAGATCTGGGTAGTGCTTTTGATTGGCTGAAGCAGATTTTCCTTGAGGCACGATCAATCAGGAGCCCTACCCAGTTCTCAGGGTCTACTGCTGAAGCTTTTTTAAGGCTGGTTTTCACTAGTGACGGAGTCGGAGTCGGAGTCGGAGTCGTAAGCGGAGTAGTAAGAGGGCTTATGACCAAGTGAAAATCAAAAATCGGAGTCGTAAACGGAGTCATAAGCGCGACGGAATCGGAGTTAGAAGAATCAGAACGTTTCCATCGCTTACGTTCCGCTTATGATCCAGTGAAAACCAGAAGAAGCAGAAGCGGAAGGATAAAGCAATCACAATACACGTTCCCACGTTTTGTGATTGGTTTGGTTCTTCTGCTTCTGCTTCCGACTCGGACAATCTGGTTTTTACTAGATCATAAGCGGAACGTAAGCGACGGAGTCGTGAGCGGAATCGGAACGCTGTTTTCACTAGATCATAAGCTCTGCGCTTCTGATTACTACTCCGACTCCGACTCCGACTCCGTCGCCAGTGAAAACCAGCCTTTAATATGGACACTGTTACATTGTAGAAAGTAGGCAGCTACCAGAACTGCCCGCAGTAGGCTAATTGTGGCTACCTTTGTAATTAAAAACCTCATTACCAGCAGCTAGTGCCTAACAGAATCAATCCTGTAAGCCCGCGCTCCAGTAGCCTCCCACGCAGACGTTCTTAGGGGTTCGTCACGCGTTCCTGCCCCACTAACGTCTGCTGAACCGAAAGATAAATTCCTTTCCCATTGTTCGCAAATATCAGCTGGAGATCACATGCAGATTATCGAGATTCAATCGGTGCTGTTGAAGTCAAAGTGTTGACAAGCCAAACACATACGCACAAGCTCGATAGAGTGTGATACGTGACCAAACATTTTTGCTCCGGACGAGAATCTAGCAGATAAGCGTTGGCTTCTTGTATATTTCTCTCTGTAAAGGCTGGATTAGATGTCATTTGCTCATAAAGATGTCCTTTGGGTGATGTAGTGGCCGGTCTACCATGTAACTACACACAAAAAAGGCAGAATTTTTTTTCACTCTTTATTGTTTTGTAGTAAAGCCGACTTCTGTTTGGCAAATTTAACTCCCGAGGTAATTTTTTTTCAATGAGATTGTGAGGGTAGCCTCGAGTACGAACGCTTCTGAGTTAAATGAGTAGCTTGTTCTAAAACTGTAAGGTCTTCTCCTTTCATGAGACCCTTCTGATCTTTTCTGGAGCTAAGTCAAGCGCGAAATTTCACAAGGTCTAAAGTGCATGCACTTCCCGATCTGGAAGTCTGCTGTGATTGTTCTACGTTTTTTTCCACTCAAATCAGCAGACGTTAGTGGGGCAGGACCGCGTAAAGAACCCCTAAGAACGTCTGCGTGGGAGGCTAGCGCTGCAGTTACTGTATGGTAACTTTTTTCTGAATCCAGGGGGTGTTTGGCTTAAGGTAACTTCAACTGTATAATTTAATATGATGTTTCTAAGACAAATCTGCCATATTTCATGTCTACGTGCATTCATTTGCGCCAATGTGCAAAGGTATTAAGTTGAATTTACTATTTGCATTTATTTATATTTTGTATTTCCTTAGACTTGGGGATCTAGCCTGCAATTTGCTCCTACTCTACAGACAGATTCTCAACTAAATTAGCTAGAGGCGTGTTGTGGTCAGATACATTATAAACATGGAAGGTGGTAGGCAAGATGTCTGTTTCAATGCTTTTCTTCACAAAACGCTGGACATTTTTTTGTTATTTAATTTTAATCTGCTAACAACACGCACGCACGCTTTGGATTGTACTGGATTCGGGATTCCTTGTCAGTGGAACGTGGATTCCGGATTCTAGTCATTAGCAAGATTTCGGACTTCCCGAAGAGCTGAATTCCGAAACCAAAGCCCAGGATTCTGGAATATGGATTACCTTGTTTAGGACGATTGGCATAACATGGCCGACTTCCAAAGAGATATTCATTATATTATTCTGCAGTGCGGTTCTAGAAATCAAGGCCGGAAACAAAACTTGATACCGTGGCTGCCTCGATAGCTTGCTTTGGAAGTGTTATCCTCGGAAACGCATACATTGCGCCTGCCACCTCGTTACACTTAACATTTTCCACTGAGTTAAGAACCTTCGTTATTAGAGAGATTAAGATTCACGTTTACGCCAAACGGCAGACGTGAATTTCTACCACGTGACCCAGTTTCCCCCTTATTTTCCGTTTACTCTTTATTGCTTCTACACAAAAATAAGTAGTTTTATGTCAGTTTTAACCATAGGAATCGTTTGGAGCTGTTTTTATCTGCTTATTTTCTATTCTGAGAAATTCTCAACTTGGATCTGACGTTAGCCGTTTGTGGTAAACGTGAATCTTAATCTCTCTATTATCTTTGCTCTCTTCTTGTAAGAATGAGTGTTACTTCCTGCACAAAGAGTAAATGGCTGTAGTAAATGGTGTTCTTTCTTTGTACTATCTTGCACTTCTGTTTTCCTTGGCATACTTTTATCAAAGAAATTCAGGAAAAATTCAGGAACTATTGACATGAAATAAGTTATAATTTGAAACTGTGGGGATACCTTGAATGATGCACGGAGGCGAAATAATCGTTGTGTGTGTCCATCAAATAGGGTCGATTGGTTGTGGGCTGATTAAAAAAGGATGTTCAAGTTAACAAAAAGCCTAATTCAGCAGCAAATTTTTAGTTATTTAGTGGGGATAGATATAATTAGGAGTCAAAAATGATGGCCAAGACAATATCATGGTAAACCGAAATGACAGTGAAATATTATTTCCCAAAACAGATGTGCAGATAATTTATCAGAACGTATAAATCAAGGGAAGATTATTTTTCGCTGGAGTTACCTCCAACGCAGACGTCTTTTACAATCCGAACTGATATTTTCCAAACAAAAACTATAGATATACGTTTTTGCTTGATCAGTGGGGACATCCAGCATAGCATTTTGCGAAAGGTTAGTTATTTATTTATAAACAAAACGAAACGGCTGAACAAATTAAAACTAACCTGTACGCAGACGTTATTTTCTTTTTCTTTTCGTTCTTTTCGAGAACATCGGCGAGCAAGAACGAGCGCGGAGCGCGAGAAAGAAAAATAAAGAATTTTCTCCTTCTCCACCCGTAACCCCTTCCGCTTGCGGTCATGCCAGCAAATGCCCCGCGGTTTTTGTTTTTTATCACGCGCGCTCGATGGACTTTGAAGAGAAAACTAGAGGGTCTGTGAACAGGCTGGAACAAAACGAAACATGTTAAAGGTTTTTACTGCGGTATCATGCAGTCAGTGAGCATAAATTTATTGTTAAACCGTTCCAGTTATAGAGCGATGATATACTTATCTTAAACAAATCAGTATTTGCCAGCCTGTTTGAAGTATGGTAAAAGCAAAGTTTTTTTTGCCCTATATCTAATAATCTCTTGATCGTGCTCAATACAGGAGAGTGCAAGTTAAGGACAATCTTTTCCAAAACACCTTTAAGTATATGAAAAAATTTGCCTCATTCAGCTAAAATTTTCCAGGGAGGGATCGTATTTGGTAAAATATTCAATTACTTGCGAGTTTTTATCGTTTTAGAATATCGCGTTTTGTTTTAAAACGTGTGGTGTGTTTTAGAACGTGTGGTGTGCATATAATTTTAAGACCGTATTTATCGAGCCGGAATTCGGAAGATTATTCTTTGCCGGAGTAACATCCAACGTAGACGTCCCTTACAAAAGCCTAACTGATATTTCGCAAACTCTTTTTTTCCGCTTTGTCAGTTGAGACATCCAGCAAACCGAATTTTGTGAAAGGTTAATTGCACACAAGAAGAAAACAAAATGAAACTTGACAAAAAGGTTTTAATTACGGTATCATAGAGTTGCGCATTTATTTAAGAACCGAATATTTTTAAACCTACGTACTTAACCACTGTTTAGGACATTTATAGGCCCTTTCGGCCTTTTCCGTGATGTGGTATAGGGACACCCAACGGTTGAATGTTTTGTGTAAAAAAGCTATAATTCGAAGAAGCACAGTGTAATTGTCTGGAAATTTCTAAAGTTCGAGATGAAAAATGTTCGATTCATCTCAATTTTCGACGCTTTTAGTCCATTAATTTTTCTACGATTTTCTGAAGTTGGTTTTTCACCTTGTTGTTTAAGCAAAGTCCTTTATTTAGCACATCTAGTGGACCTTCAGCCTCTTCATGTGGTAGCCCGGGGCACCCAACGACTGGTTTCTGTGAAATAGCTGTTCGAAGAATTAGAAGCACATATCATCTAGAGATTTCTATAGCTGGAAAAAAGTTAAAAATTTGATGGATGAATGTATCATTCATCTCAGTTTTTCGAAGTTTTCAGTCTATTAACTTCTATGATTGAAGTTGTGAATGAGATTTTCACTTTTCACTTGTCTTCCCATATTTGGTCGTCATTCGCAAAAATGGACTACTTGTAATAAATTTTGGGCTTTAAAATCAGTAACGGAAAGATGTACATCGGAAAATGTTGAGTTTTCTGTATATTTACTAGCATCAAAGATTTTCGAAAAAGTAAAGCGCTAATAAATTCGCATCGGCTGAAGAAGCCCAAGGACGTCACCAAACAGCTCAGATACAAATTTTA